AAGTATAAAGCTAAAAAAAAAAAAAAAATGATAATTTTGTTGGGAAAAATAAAAATATCTTTGAGGTTTAAAGTGTGATTTATTCGACAAAGGAATTAAGGATAATAATAATAATGCATAATTGCACACACGCTTCGGTTCCATTCCCAATTTTTTAAAATTAAAAATTTCTTTCATTTTTTTTTTTTTCACACAGCATATTTTCGTTTTAAATAGAGCAAAATACATTACAATTTTTAGTGTTTAAGAAATAATGGGAATTTAAACAATAAAAAATAGAGGGCCTAAATTTACACAATAAACACAATATAAATAAAAAAATGTAGCAAAGCCCCATACAAACGAAATTTCGTTTTTTTTTTTTTTTTTTTTTAATTTTGGATATAATATTATATATTTTATAATATAGTTTTACAAAATTTTTATTGAGATGGTCTTTTATAGTTATTATTTATTATTTATATTGCTGTTATTATATTATTATATTATTTTTATTATTTGATTACTTATTATTTATTTTGAATTTTGGGTAATACAACTTCTCTAATTTTTTCTTCTATTATCTGATAAACCATTTGTGGGTAAGGATGTTCAAGTAATATACAAATTTCACCTTTTTTATGACATATATAACCTGCTGGTAAATTATTATAGTTTATAGTTTTAGTCTGAGTAGTTGTAGTAGTTATAATAGTGGTAGTGGTATTATTTATATTGTTACTACTATTATTATTATTATTATTATTATTATTATTATTATTATTATTATTATTAATATTTATATTACAAATTTCGTTTGATAAATCACTAAGAGTTAATAATGATGGTGAGGATTGAGAGGACTGAATAGAGTTTGAGTTTTTTGTTGGTGAAGATGGTAACATAGGTTCCAATGAAATGGTATTGCTGGTTATATTGCTATTTACATTTAAAACCTTATTTGCCAATGGACTATTATTATTAAATACTATATTGCTATTATGACTTTTAATTAATAATGATTCATCAGATTCTAAACGAAGACCCAATCTTTCAATGATGGCTCTGAAATGGTAAGCTTCTAAAACTGGTTTGCACCATTTTAAAGGTAAATAGATGGGTTCATTAGAGGAACGATTTGAAAGTTTTGAAAGCAACATTAATAACAAGATGATTTCATCACCAATTTGAATACCCTCGTCAATATCATCTACGATTTGATCTGCACCATTAAATGAGGGTTGATTTTGAAACTCGTCCAAAAGTGACAATAAATTATCAATAGTTCTCTCGACTATACCGCTTAGTGACATTACTTGATTTTGAGAGTTTCTTAAAGTTACATTTAGGGTATCTAAATAATCCAATGAACCTTGAAGTAATACCAAATATTGCTCTTGTTCTGGAGTTTCTTTAAAATCGTTCATAAATTGAAACTGTGATTGAATGGCCTCAACTTGGGACTTTATTAATAAATACATGAACATTGGTGTTAAATCATTTGCATCAGTTCTACTAATCTGGCTAGTAGCTTCATTTAAACAGTTGATTTTTTCTGATGGTGTCTTTTTATTTTGTAACTGATTAATAATTTCTAATGCCTTTGGTAATAAATTTACGTTTTGTTCCCAGCTGTGTTCTGAAATATCTAACTCCCTATATTCAATATTTTTAAACATATTAACTCTTTGTTGAAATAATAAATCTTTTGATTTGTTCTGATAAAAAAAAAAAAAAAAATTATTAGTAAAAGTTTATATAGTTTATATAGTTTATATATTTGTTTTGCTAAAAAAACATACAGTTTCTTGATATAAATGTATTATTGTATCATAAATTTGTGTATAGATTAACTCTTTATATTGTTTTAAATATTGATGATCTTGAATATTATCATCCAACCAACTGAATAATCTTGATAATGTATCTTTTGCTCTTTTTAAAAGAATATTTGCATTTTGATGTGACATGTTGATTGCATAGTGTTGCTTAATGATAACAATAATTCTTTTGATAAGTTTACCGAATGTTGAATTTCTAAAATCATCGTTATATATAATTGATTCTAATGGGAGTTTGGTTGCTTCGCTTGAATCGCAGCTGCCCAATTGCTTAAAGAAAACCTCTAATATTTTAGACTCTGCCTGTGCTCTATATTTTACAATTAATTTACTTAGGGCCATATGATTGTTTTTCATTGATATTTGTAATGCTGATGCCATTGAGTTGTTTACATCATCAATGTAGTCTTGTAATTGTTCGCCATCTAAATTTTCTGATAATATTTTTAATATACCTTCACATATTGGTGCAACTCTACTATTATATAAGTATGCTAAAATATGAAATGGTGTATTGCCGTTTGTATCTTTAATTTTAAGTGATTCTGGTGTTGATTGGGTCATTAAATATTTTGATAAACTAATATTGCCACTAATTAAGGATAGATGTAAAGGTGTTTGGTTATGACTTGTCTATAATGATAATAATAAAAGTAATAATTATTGTTAATATAATATATATAATTTTTGGAATCTAATTGCTATAATATTTTACCTTTGCGTTGATAATAGAGACAGTTTGGCCAGGTTTTGAAACTTGATTATATTTTTCGATGGAAACAAATATTTTTTGAACCAATTCTAATAATGAATCGCTAGGATTTGGCGCGTAACCAATAATTGAGTCGATGTTTGAACTGTAGAGTTCTTTTTTAAGTTCCAATGAACATAGTTTATGTAGAGGTGTCCACTTTTGAAGATTTGATAGTATGGGTGATGCACCATTTTCTAAAAGTTGAGTTGCTGCTCTAAAGAATGCCTTTTCACAACAAATAAAAAATGGAGTCTTCATTTTTTCGTTTTGAAAATTGACCAATTCAGACTTGGTTTGTTGCAAAATATAGTTTACTGAGACTAACTTTAACGATTTGCATGCTATATGAAGGAATGTATTCTTTTTTCTTAGTACCACTGTCAACGGTATAATTGGTTTAGTCTTTAATGAATTGGTTAAAAATACAACATTTCCACTCTTTGCTGCTATTATCATAGTCTCTATTTTTGGTCTAGGTTTTTTATCTTCCTTTGATCCGCTTATTAATGAACCACTGCTATTTGATTTACTATTTACAATTGGATTAATTTTATTAAATGTTGTTGCAATGATTGATGGCGATGTGTTGCTTGTTGCTGTTGATGATGTTTTACTGCTTGTTGGGTTATTGCTATTAGTAATATTGCTGCCGCTACTGCTACTGGTATCTTTATCTTTGCTACTATTATTACCACCACTCCCGCTATTGACTAAAGACTCACCTGTTGGGGTTGATGCGATTTGGTTTGATGTCATAAAACTATTAATTACTTGTTGTTGTGATGTTGTTAGGTCGCAAATACTGCTCGTACTACTTGTATCGCTGATATCATCTTCAATCATTAAATTTTGTGTTTCGGGTGTCGATGATCCTGACGTTGTCAACGATTTGTTATCATTTGTATCATCCATATTTTTATTTTATATTTAAAAATATTATATAATACGAATATTATTTAATTATTATAAAAATATTTATGGACCTCTTTATTATATATACTTTTTCTCGATTTCTATTGTTTATTATGATTCTATTTAATTATGTTATTATTTTTATTATTATTTTATTATAAAATTTAATTAAAAAAAAAAAAAAAAAAAAAAAAAATAGATTTATTGTTTAACTGAAAAAATTTAAAAATAAAAAAAAAAAAAAAAAAAAAACTGTATATACTGCACAATTTTAAAAAACAATTAAATATTATTTATTTATTAATATACATAAATTATTATTTATCTATTATTTTAGTTGTATAATATTATTATTATTATTACTATTTTGCAAATATAATATTATATTTTTATTGTTATAAAATTATATTATAAAATTTATTATATTTATTATATTATTTTTTTTTTTTTATTTTAAAACACACCCGTGGAATTACAAAAAACACACAAATTTAAATAATAAATATTATTAAATATTTTTTTAAATATCTGCACAAAAAAAAATTATTTATAGTAGTTTTGTCCCTATTATTTAAATATAAATAAAAATAATGATAACTGCTACAGCTCGATTTTTTTTTTTTTTTTTTTTGGTGGTAAGTAATCAAAAAAAAAAAAAATAAAAAATAAAAAAAAATTATAAAAAAATAAAAAATTAAAAAAAAAAAAAAAAAATAATTATTTTCAAAATTTTTAAATAATAATAATAATAAAACAAATATGGAATTTTTAAACTTAAAATGATAAACACAAAGATATAATTATTATTTGATTCCAAATTATTATTTCAATTTTTTTATTTTTTATTTTTTTTTATTTTTTTTTTCATTTTATTTTTTTTTAATTTTGTTTTATTAAGTTTTTTAATATATTTAATTATTTGAATGGATTATCATCATTTTAAAAAAATAGTATTTCAACAAATATATACACATAAAATACAAATAAGTATTTTATTGTAATTATTTTAATAAAAAATAGTTTTTTTTTTTTTTTTCTTTTTTTAAAATAAATAAAAAAAAAAACTTGGCTCTAGCCATTTTTTTTCATAAAAATTAAAAAAAATTTTTAAAAAAAAAAAAAAAAGATTTTTTAATTTTTTTTTTAATTTTTTTTTTTTTAATTTTTTTTATTATTTATTTTTTTTTATTTAATAA